CCACTTTAAAGGAGTTTAAAGCATTAATGTTATAAATTTAATATAGGAACGTTAAATTAAAAGATAACAATTTACTTTAAAAAGTAAAGAGCAATAAGCTTATTATAACTTTTAAAGAAAGTAATATAAAAGAATTAAAAAATAAGGATAAAGAGGTAAAGGAAAAAGGAACTTATAAATATATAAAATTAAGCTTTTAATTAATATTATTAATACTTTTAAATTTTTTAATAATAATAATAATAATATTAACTATATTATAGCTTATAAAGGAAAACTATACCTTTTAAATAAAGCTTAATATAAATTAATAATAGGAGCTACCCTATAAAAAGGGAGCCCCTATTAACTATTAAATAGCTACATTTAATATAAGTAGGTTATAAGGTTAAATTAATATTAACGGATAACCTATATAAAAAACAAAGTTAGCTAAATAGTTAAAACGTTTAAAAATATATTATAATGCTCCTTATAAAAGCTAATAAACTTAAAAGGATTATAAAAAGGAAAATAACTTTAAGCCCCTTATAGAAGTTAAATAAGCTTAAAAAAGTAGATTTTATAATATATATAAATTAAAAACCTAGGTTTATTATAAAAAGGGAAATATTACCCTTAAGCCTCCTATTAAAGATTTAAGAGCTTAATTATTAAAGTACATTAAAGAAAGAAGTAAAATTTATTAAAGGAACCTTCCTCCACCTTTAAAGTAATATAAAAAGCTTACCACTTACCTATTAAAAGATTAATTTAAATAAGTTAAATAAGTCTATCTATAAAGTTATTTAAAAATAAAAATTTAAAAAGAAGCTCCTTAAAGTAATATAAGGAGCTTTACCTTATTTAACTAACGCATCTCCCACTTGACCTGGCTACCCAATTGAGCTGGCCACCCCCTTAGCCCATATAAAAAACATCGGTGCGCTAATCACGTGATAATTTGATAACTTTACGAATATTGGTCGTATAAAACAATAAAATATACCATTAGATTTGTAATTAAAAGAGCTATTTAACGGTACCCCTCACTAGCTCTTACAACTTATATTCGTGGAGTTATTAAGCAATACGCTAAAGTAAGCGCTAAATTAATCCTTACTTAATGCTTCTTTAACATATTGCTTAATATTTCGCTTAATAAATTTTATAAAAAATAGTAAAAAATACTATTAGATTCTCCTTTAAATAACGGATTTAAAGGTATTATTTATTAAATTGTACGATTAGTATTTATAAAGTTATTATAAATTAAAACAATAGGATTTTATATAGGCTAAGGGGGTGGCCAGGTCAAGTGGGAGATACGTTATATATAGGTATATATTTATAAATTTAATAAGTATAAATACTATATTAAATATAAAGTTTATTTAATAATATATAAAGATTAATAATTAAATATTAAAATAAAAGATACTTATATTAGCACTTTTATTAACTATTTATTTAAAGTTTTAATAATTATTATAATTAAATTTAACTTAAAACTTAAGTAATATAATATAATTAATACATTTATAAATGTTAAGTTAAAAAAGGAAATATATATATATATATTATTAAATTACTATAAGCTTAAAATAGTGTTATATCTTTTCTATATACTTTATAAGCTATAAGAGTTACCTTTACTATAATAAAAGAAGCTTATTAAATCTTTAAAGGAGTTTAAATTTAAATTTATTCCTTATAAGCCCTATTATTTTTTATAAAAAGGGGTATTACTATTTATATATATAAATAATATAATAGTAACTTACCTTAAAAAGCGCTTATTAATAGTATATAAAATAATTAAAGCTTTAAAATATAAATATTAACTTATAGATAAATATAATTTATAATAGTTTTTAAATATTAAAATTATTAAAAATAGGTATAAAAAGCTTATTTAACTCTTTTAAAGTACTTATATTAAAAAGATTATATAATTTAAAGATATAATTATTATAATATATATAAATACTTTAATAAAAGTTAATAAGCTTTAACTTTATAAATATATAACTATTTAATTTAATATATAAAATTTCTAATAGAAAAGTAGCTTAATTTTATATATTATAATTATTACCTATTTAAATATAACCTTTATTACTTTATAATTAGTTCGTTTTAATAATAACCTTAAATTAAAGTATTATAAAGTAGCTAATAAGCTCCTTTTATACCTATTATTAACTTAAAACCTTATACTATACTTTAATAATAGAAATAACTTTATAATAATAAGCAATATATTATTTATTAATAATATTATAAATTAAAAAAGCTTTTAAATATATATTATAAAGCTTTTTAAAGGGGTAATTTATTAATAAATTAATAAGTAAAATATTATTATAATATTAATAATTAAAGCTAAGCTTCTTATATTAATATAAGTAGTTAAAGAAGTAATATATATTAATTAATTAATAAATAAGCTTAATATATTAATGCATCTCCCACTTGACCTGGCCACCCAATTAACCTGGCCACCCCAATAATCTATATAAAACCCTATTATTTCAATCTTTAATAACTTTACGAATATTAATTGTACGAGTTAATAATTAGTACCTTTAAATCCGTTAGTTAAAGGGGAATTCAGAGGTATTTTTTACTATTTTTTATAAAATTTATTAAGCGAGATATTAAGCAATACGCTAAAGTAACGCTAAGCAGGGATTATTTTAGCGCTTACTTTAGCGTATTGCTTAATAACTCCGCGAATATAAATCGAAAAAATCAATGGAGGGTACCGTTGAATAGCCCTTTTTATTACGAATCTAATGGTATATTTTATTATTTTATACGGCTAATATTTGTAAAGTTATTAAATTATCATGTGATTAGCGCACCGACGTTTTTTGTATGGGCTGGGGGGGTGGCCAGCTCAATTGGATGGCCAGGTCAAGTGGGAGATGCGTTATTGGATAAATAATAAATTACTATTTAATATAATAATTAATAAATAATTAGCCTTATAATAAAGGAAATAGTAATATTAAAGATTAAACTATAATATATTAATATATATAATTATTAGTTTTAATAAAAGGTTAAAAAAGGAGCTTTAAATATTATATATATATTTATTAATTAAATAATAATAGATGGATTTATTAAAGCACTTCTTAATATTAAATGAATAATATTTATAAATTAATTAGGGTTATATAAGCCTTTAAAAAAAAGGGTAAAGAAAAGTTTATTAATTATATAGGAAAAGCTTAAAGGAATACTTTTTAAAGGAAAAAGTAATAAATAACCTATAAATTTATAATTAAGGATAAGTTATAAAGTTAAAAAGCTTAAGTTATATATTTAATAGGTTCAAAAAAAATAAAAACTAAAATTTCTACCTTAAAGGATATTAAAAATGAACTTATTACTATAATAATAAAGGTTTAAGCTTTTTCTTCTTCTTCTTTTTTATCCTTCTTCTTCTTTATACCTATAATTATTAAAAAGGTATAAATAGTTATTTATAAAGCTTTAATTTCTTTAAATGGTACCCTTTATTAAAAAGCTTAATTTAAAGCTTAAGTAATATTATAATAGGTTATTAGGTTAAAAAAAAGTTTAATAATTAATATAAAAAAGTTTATTAAAGGTAAAAGATAAATTTATAAAGGTAAATATATATAACCATTAAAATAATAAAAATAGTAATATTTAAAACTTCTACTTTTTTTATATATATTATTTAAATACTTATAAAAAGCGTTATAGGTATAGTATAAGTAAAAAATGTTTTAAAAGATATTTATATATAAATGTTAACTATTATAAACAGTATACGTAAGCCCTAAATTAAAGATACTAGGAGCACTAGCAATATTACTAATACTACCTATATTAATATATATTAAAAAGCTTAATAGCAATATTAAAGTAATATTAATTATATAACTATTAAAGGTTATATATATATTAAGGGATATTAATAAAAGGCCTTTTAATAAAGGAGTTATTTTAATATTAACTATTATAAAGTAATAATTAAAAGGGATTATTTTAATAAAGCTAATTAATAATATATTAAAAGCGTTAAAGAAATTAAATTATTTATAATTCCGGTTAATTTTAATATTAATATAAAAAATATACCTTTATATATTAAAGGTATAATAATAATATAAATAAAGGTAAAGCATTAATATATTTATTAATAAACATTTATAAACTTTAAAACTAACGTTAATATTTATAAAGGGGGGCGGAACCTTAAGCAGCTTTAATTACAATAGGGGGGAGAAGCTTAATTATCTATAATCTAATTAATATTAATTAAATAAACCTATTATAAATAACTAAGGCGCTCTTTAAAAGGGTAATAATAGTATATAGCTTTAATAAATATAAAGAAAAAGAAAAAAGAAAAAGAAAAAAAGAAAACCTATTAATAATAAATATAGGATATATTTAAAAAAAATATACTTATTATATACCTATAAAAGGTATATACCTACCATTTTTATAACTATTTATATATATAATTTAAATAAGTATAAAGAAGATATATTACTTTATATTTATAAACTTATTATATAGGTTTAAAAAGCTTTATTTAAGTTTTAATTATTAAAACTTAAGCTATAAGGATAATTATATTAAAAAAGGAGCTATTTATAAAGCTACAATATAAGCTTTACCATTATATTAACATAACTTAAAGGGGTATATTAAATTAATATAACGTATAAAATAGGAGCCTTATAAATTAAATATACTAATTACGTTAAATGCATTACCACTATAGCATACACTTACTATACTCCTTTAAAAAGCTCTATATATAATAATATATATGATTTAATTAAGTAGAGAGATAGAATAAGACATATACAATTAAGAAGCTCAGCAGCTAGAAATCCAATACCAAGCCCTAGGTGGGTCACCAGGCCAGCCACCATAACTATTATTTTAATACTTAAATTAAGCTTAATATTATAAATAATGCTTTAATAACGCTTTTTTTAAAAAATTAAAAGCATTATAAGATTTAATATAAAAAGGTAATTCGATTAAATATAAAAAGAAGGTTAGAAGGTAAAAACTGATTGCGTTGGGTATAGGGATTTATATATGCGAATTCGCGTAAAAAGCGCGTGACGTGGTGGCCCGGGACCCTTGCGATTTGCTTATCCCATGTGGGCGGCATATTGAATAGCGAGATGTCCAAGACCCCCTATGCCCTGAATAGCGACCAGGTCGCCCACGGCAATGTTCATGTGTCGGATCGAGTTAAATACGGCCATGCCGGCGCAAAGAATTGGGGCATATTTAGCGGCGTCGACATGTTCGGGAATATTCACGGTCGCTTCGGAGCGGAGAATGCTATACTCCGCATCTGTGAAGAGAAGAAGCGATTTCCCGCGTCAGTAACAGGTTCCGATCATGTAGTTGGCCCTCTGGAGCAGATTAATGAATGAACAGCTTACATCCACCGGCCTTTGTCTCGCCGTTGATGACCTGGTTATCGCACATCTGAAACCAGCCCTTGGAGCATGCGGTGCAAGAGCCATCATGACCGCCGTGCCAACCGCCGCCAACGCGGTCTCCAACCTTCCACGCGGTGACCCCATCACCAATGGCAGCGACGCGACCGATTATCTCGTGGCCTGGGCAGAGCGGAAACCCACCACCCATGACGTTGTTTTGGGCAAACATGTCCGAAAAACAGACACCACAAGCCTCAACCTTGATGAGAATCTCTCCGCGCCCAGGGAGTTTCAAGGGCGTCTCCTCAACCACCAACGCCTGTCCCATGCCGGGGAACACCGCGTGCTTGTAAGTGCTTGGGAGAGACATTACGTCGAGGTAGCTTAATCGCAATTTCTTAGGTGATGAAGTCAAATAGTGGCTGAATTAGCTGCTGTCGTTTCTCGTGATACTGGGTGCTCACCCCTGGGTCTGGACGAGGTCTTATAAGCACTTTCAATTAATCGAGCCTCTTTTATCTACAAGAGAAGGGAGTTCCGGATCCATTCTGTCATGAGGAGTCACGGATAGCACATCCAGCACCCACCTGACGTTTTGGCAGCATTGGGACAATCAAACTAGTGTATGTTTGTGGGCTATCGGATTTGGTTTAAATTCCGGACAGATAAATCCGAGAAAGCTGAGGTCGGGCTTGGTGCTACCGAATGTTTGCAACCATCGCGAAGATGAGACCAACTGGAGTTGGCGGAAAATGCAGGGGTAGACAGGAGTCGTCGGAGTTATATGGAGAACATCACAACACAGAGCGATGCCGTTAGTATGCAGTAGTTGGCGTTGCATGAGCCCTCTGCCAGAACATGTACCAAGCAGAGCCTCGAGCCTTTTACGATGCTCACCACTACTGATTCGTGACATCTCCTTTGTGACGCTCGCTGTTATATGCCGCCATTAAGATTGAAAGGTAACTGGGGGTGACCAGGAACGGCACTGTCGTTAATTAGAGTAATGTGAGGTTATACGCCTTGTACCTTTTCCAGCACGCTAACGTTGTACATTGGATTTGCTTCTCCGCTTCTATAGTCCTATATCCCCTCCATCTATAGAGAGCCGAGCTTGAAAATCTAACCAAGAGACCAGCGCTATCAGTCGGTTTAAATCCGGATCGGGTCAAGAATAGTGAACAGATTGTGTGCAGAGCCCAGCCGCTATGACAAGAATCCAGACATCATTGATTGCCCTGACAATAACATCAATAATGGCGTCACGTGTCTTGGGCGATACGCTGGAGAGAAGATCGCTACGTGCACCAGCAATAGCGGCCTGGATATCATCGCCGCTATACTCCGGCCCTAGGATATGTCGAATGCCGTCAAAACTCTAAGTCTGGAATATTGTGCTGGCAATAGCGAGCCCGATCAATTGGCTCGACCCTTGTGAAATGTTGATAAACTGAATAAGATCGGCCGCATGTGCTGCATCTGTTAGTTGATTGCCGACCGCATATGCTGCTTGGCTTGTCGTTAAACCCACGCCCAAAATGATCGCGTAGCGAAAAGAACTTTGTATAGACAAGGCTAATTTTCAGCAATCTTTAGCAGTCAATTTAGTAGAACAGCATTGCTATCGTAGCACTCGCTGTGAAAAGACTTGAAGAGAGGTTCGTTGTGACTCGAGCTTGGTACATGTTGCATTTAGTTTTTAGATACCAATTCCAGATAGGGATACTTCGTTCGATAGAGAAATCTAATTAATTCTATCAACTATATAACTGATTGAGATAAGAACTAATTAATCTACCAAAGTATCTCGAGATCCTTCTCTACACGGTATAGGGCTCCAGGTTAAAATCAGGGGTTAAGCCTATGTCTAATGATCCTGATAGTATCTCTTAGCTGTTGGGTTATTGGGGCACCCTACTTCCACTTCAGCCAGCACTCACCTTAGAGTAACCTTCTAGATAGTAACAACTTCACTCAATCAGATAGTCAATTCAGATCTCTGCGTATCACACACAGAATCCAACACTCTGCTTCATTGCAACGTGTTAGGCTATCTTGGGTGCCACCACAATAGCAGCCATGGACTCCTCATCTAACTCCAACGAATCAGTGCCAATTTCCCCGTAGGTAAATATCAGCTCTGCCTGCGGTGCTATCGTCGAGATCGGGCTGGTATCTTCTGTGCTGTGTTCTTGCGGCCCCTCAAATTAGACTATGGCGTCGTCGACTACGCTCTTTAGTTTCTGCATCATGTTAGCTGTACTGACTCTTTCCACAAAGCTTCTGCCGAATATATCCAGAACTTCAATAGCTAGCTATATCGATGGTATTTTTTTCCTTCTTGACTCAGAGGCTTGCTTACACGCATAAGCGCGAAGCCCACCAATGTTATCGCACGGTTCCACTACCATTGACATGCCTCATACCAGCCAGCAAGGATGTCTGTCGTCTTCGATACTTGCCGTATAATTTGCGTTAGTGCTGCAGCATGGCCCGCGCGCTTCCTGGCACATAACTCTATCACGAACGCTGAAGTCAGGAATTGCCAGATAGGGAAGGGGTTCGGCTCATGTTTCAGCGCTTGCAGGAGCAATGAGGCTCAAAATCTGCCTAAGGGGGGGATAAATGACTCTGTATCTTGATTATTGAGTCTTTTTACTGCTATCTCCGTACATATCAATAGTAGCCAATCCAAAGATCTCCTCTACGTCAATAGTTCAACGAGGAATAAGTAGGTACTCAATCGATAGCGCTAGCTTTCCGACTCCGAATCTATATTTGGCGTTATTTTATCTTCGATAGGAGTATGTAGAGCAGTGGCTAAGTCTACAGTCTCACTAGTCGGTGCGGTCGACATATCCGGCGATGGTCTTGAGTGACTCGGAGAAATTGTATCGTGGCACAAAGTAGAATTGTGAGGCTTCTCCACTTCTGTTTCTTTATGTGCTGCCGAGTAAAGAACTGGATGCGTCGGATCCGTGATATCTAGACAGGCAAGAAGCTCATTCGCCTTTGTATGCGGGATTTGCTGAATGCATTGTGACCAGGTGCCGCTTCCCACTTCATCGTATGCTAGGCGCTGAAGCTGCAAGGTCGCATTCGTAGTCCATTCCAAATGCGTGTATGGTTTATATCCCTTTTTCTTGCACAGATACCTCGAGGTGGGTTCTAGCAGGAACGAAATTAGGGTGATGAGAAAACCGAAGAGCAGTGTAAAGCAAAGACCGAAGACGCTGAATGAGCCGTAGGCCGTACTGTGGATTTTCTAAAAGATTCTGTTATTATGTAGGGTTGCACAAAAATATTAAGTGATATATGCATACCTGGCTACCACATATCTTCTGCAGAGCCGGACTTGTGAAGTTAATCCAAGTCTGCAAAGTGCCTGGGTCAGTTGGACCATAAGCCATGTCAATCAATGCTACCTGCTGAAGGGCCATTGTTATATTCCATAGGTGGCTTATATCGAGTTGCCACTGGTTCGGTGCCAATGGTCCTTGTATTCCACCAAGCAAGTTTCTTTGTGATATAAGCCCCATCGACCCAAGTTGAGTTAGCAGGATGTTGATCGATGTGCGAGTGCCAAATCTGGAGGCGAAATAGTTGAAACGAGCTTCCGATTCCGTCTTGGCATTCCCAGCGTTCAGACCAGATGTAAAGTAATTTAAATACTGAGTTCCAAACAGGGGCGCAGCTCCAGATATTGCGTCCAAAAGGCTGGCGAGTGGCCCACATCTGCGCTCTTCTGGCAACGCAGTATTACAGAACTGATATTGGTCTGCACAGCCTAGCGGAGACGCTGGTTGTAAAGGAAGGTAGACTTTGTTTGGACTGGCAGTGTCAGCTGACACGGAACTTCCGTTAGACGGTGTCGCGGCCACTTGGTACCACTCATCAGAAGTTGGGAACGAGTACTGCACGCCGTTGCCCGAGAGGAAAATTATGTAAGTATCTGCATCATTTTGAAATAGGGGTTGGATGGGCTCGAAGTCCGAATTCTTCCTAGTGGTCCTATTTCCAACAGTAGATTGTATTGGGCTACATACATGACATTAGCATGGAAGACTCGGGTTTAATGTCTTTTACTAAAGGCGCAGATATCTTGCTTTAGACTTACTTTAGATGATGTGTAAAGTAGGTATCAATAATATCAGTGCTGGTCAGTATATATGAATACTGGGATTCAACTGACGCTGCTCTGTACACATAGTCAAGCGGATCGCCACGTACTCCTGTTGTATTTCCATAGTGGTATAAAGTGAATGTCTCATTTTGGCCGGCTGGATTTTGCTCACTAGTGAAACCTTCCGTGGTTAATGGCCCGCATTGAAGAACGTTTCGCCAGAGAACTCTTTGATCAGGAGGAGAATTCACCCCGAGATCTTCGTGGCTGTCTACATAACCACTGTCCAGACGGATATTCAAAGTCTCATTTCGGCATATGCGATCGCCAAAAGGACAAGGTGCCTCTAGGTCGACAGTGCCAGTAATGTGCTTCTTGACGTAACGGTCACAATTAAGACCGACGCTAATATTGCTTGAGTAACACTGCAGAGCATAGTTGGCAGCATTGTTGATCAGCCCAGCACGATATGGTAGGCCTGCGAAATATTTCTCGGGGTCATCGAATACACTCGTAAGAAGAGAAGAGCCACAGTGGTTGCTACTAATCAATACTTCGTTGCCGATCCCGGTGGAAATTCGGGAAGAGAAACCACCAGCGATAGTAAATACCGTAAGACAGCAAGTCGCAACAGTAGCAGTAGACAAGGGTCGCAAGCGCCCCTTTGAGTGGCGGCTTTCCCAGAGCAGCCGCAAAAGCAGGTTGATACCATCCTCCGGCGAGGATGAGTTTCGTAGAATTGCTTGATGTTGGTGATAGATAGCGTCTTGAGGAAGGGGCGTTGAGTAGTATCGGTGAAACACAAAGCAGAGGATCCTCCACGCACGGGTTGCGAAAAACGCGATGAGAAAACCGATGAATGCAATGAGGAGGTCTGCATCGCGTCTTTGAAGCGTGAGAGTGCTTCCCATGATTTGCCCACGAGACCAGTTCGTCCACATTCCAAGTCGAATGGGGTATTGGTCGTTTTCGTTCCCAGCAGGATTCATGGTTTGATGTTTGGTGGATAAAATAAGAGAGAGGTCATAGGCTGAGTGAGCATCGCGTTGAAGGTGTAGGCCGGCTCTGATCAAGAAAACGTAAATATATTATATATAAATAAATAGGTATGCTTATGGAAGTGCGTGCGTACGTGCGTGTGTGTGTGTGTGTGTGTGTGTGTGTATTGATCAATTCTTCCAATCGTAGACCGGGTTGTTCTAAACAGCAACACTGATTCGCAGGCTGATTATAGAAATATGTAGCAATGTTAACTACGCTGAGGAGAGGAGAGGAGCGTGCAAGGCAGCTTCTCCAAACACCCATGGATAGCTCAAATGCAATGCAACAGTAGCACTACACACCTTACATGGGACGAGATCCTTGAATCAAAGTGCGGCTATACTGGACAGGCGGGTACATCATCCAAAAGGTGTATGAAACAATGTTGCTTAGTTCCATTTTCATGCCGTTCTGATAATAAGCAATCTGGCCTCTGCTTAGATGAATATGATATGCCATATTAGTCAAAGGCTTAGGGTTTGAATAGACCCCTTAGTTCACATTTCTGGCATTGAAGTGCCCGAGTGTAGTTGAGAATTGAGATATTTGTGAAAGAGTTAGCACTCGACCGACAAATAGGGGCAATCAGCCACCCTTACATCGATTTGTGGAATGCACTGCTAAGCCTATTTCTATTGCTATGATCCTCTCGCCCCCGATTTTCTTTTTATAAAGGTATACCATGCCAGCTATTCTATAGCGAAAAATCTTAGCGTCCAACCATTTACCTTGCTTCCACACCATAACACGCGGGGGGGGGGGGGGGGGGGCGGGCGGGGGGGGGGGGGGGGGGGGGGGGGGCGCGGCGGGGGGGGGGGGCCACGGCCGAAAAC